CTTAATGTTTTGGGTTTTTTTTTTTTTATTGTTCCTTGACTTTCTATCTAGTCAGCAGAGAAGAAAATCCTATTTATTGGTGCAATTTAAATGTGATTGTTAGTTCTGAAAGAAACTCTTTTAATTAAAAATGTTCTCCTCTGTTTTCTGGATACAAACTGTCTCTTTAATAGAGACGGCTGCCAAGCTTTGACTTCTTTTGGCAACTGCAAATCTAATTAGCATTTCTGTACCAAATAGAACCTTTTTTATTTTAAATTTGCAAAAGGAATGGAGGAATTTTCTTTTTATTTAAGAGAGTTTTGTCTGCCTTAGCAACAGCTACAGTCTTTTTGCTCATACCTGAGGGTTGCTATACTAACACCTGATTGATAAATGCATACAGTTGGGATTCTCTCACCAGCTCATTGACTTAAAAAAAATTCTGACCTTATGCTTCTTTTAAAAAATATTTTATTTTTGAGATGAAGCTTAAACTTATTATAAAAAGCTAACAAATGAGATGAACCAGCGATTCATTATCTGCATAGCATATCCAGTCTTTTTTACTGTAGAAAAAAATGCTTTTGGTTTAATTTGGTGTCAAAGCAAATGCTGTTCATTAAGAGGAGACATAGCTCAAATAAGCTTGAGGAGATGTTATTATTGTTAACTCGAATAGTCTTTCCATTCAGCAGCTGTATGGAAGAATATGCAAGCAAGATAATGAATATGGTTGCATTATATGTCAGATTACTTATACAGATGAGTTACATGGGCAAGAGGTTTTTATGTAGTCACCTTACTACGCACAGAGGAATAATGCAGGGTTTTTTTTTTTTCACTTGAGAATATAATCAGAAAAACTTCAGACTACAAAAAGGAAGACTGCTGTCATGTTCTTGTCAGAAAACATTTTAAAAAAAAACAAAAATCCTTTTGTAGAATAGGTTGGCATTCTTTCAGTTCATTTCCCATCACATTGATAAAATAGATTATTTTTTTTCATCCTTAAGGGGATGGGAGGAGTCAGTGAAAGTATGATTGTAACTTTATTCTATAAACTTGTAACTGCTTTAACTCTGTTGCTCAGTCTGATTTACTTGGTTTCAATACTACCAGAGCTGCATGAGGCCCATTATTCTTTTGATGGTATAATGGTTTTGTTGCAATGATCATAGAATCTGTAAAATGTAGTTGCATGTCAACTGTCCTCAGTATTTTCTTTTTAAACTCACGTTCAAGTCATAAGAGAAAGCGTTAGTAAAAGCTGCAGCTTGTGCTGCACTTCAGAAATATATGTGGCCTGTTTACATTTTTGTAAATAACCATTCTGACAAGCCTAGCATCATCTGGTCCATTTTTTCCAATACTGTTAGACTTACTGTATTTATAAGGAATAAAGAAAAACTGGCTAATGAAATGCAAGATGTGAATGTGATATGCCTGATGCTACTTCTATTTTTTTAATCTTTGTCTCAGGAAGGTATAAATTCTAAAACTAAGTATATTCAGCTGTTCTAACAGCTGAAAGTGCCATCTATTTCTCAGAGTGGTTTTGTTCATTAGAGCTACTGTAATAGTTGTGATATTCAGCACTCCAGTTATATAATTTTCAGCATTTTGCTGTGAAGTCTACATAAAAATGAACTTGTTCAAAATTAGAGTGCATATTAATCAAATACTCTAGTACTGAATTTCAATTTGTGTATTGAAGTATGGTTTTCCACAGTGTATTTTCTTCAGCAAAGTAGCAACTGTCATCATGACATATTTATGCAGCTCAGAAATAACTTCTGGTGATGCCAATTCAGAATGGATCCTGTTCATATCACTGGGGAACATCTACCTAATGGGGGGAAAAAACTTCTTTGATAGCCTACTAGATCTTAAATTTTATTCAGTCATGTTTGCTTTGATTGGTATGAATGTGTAAAACTGCTGGTAATTGCAAATAGCACAGCTGTATGACAGTTTGCTCCGGGCAAATTTGATACCAGGTTGCTGCTTTTTCTTCAAAAACAACTGCTTGTGATACACACTTGAGGAATCTTGTCTCGCCTGTTGCCTACATGTTTTTTAATATAGTAACTTTGTCTTGTCACCTCAGTGTTGGATGTTGTAGACAGAACTATTGTAAGTAGTTGAAGGTCTGGAGCTTACAACATTAAGCAAATGAGACAAAATATACTGGAGACCTCAGACCATTGTAGGACTTTGCTTAAAACTCAATAGTGATGCATGGCTAGGTAAAGCAGATTTAGATTCTCCTCTTCTATATAGTTCTTGCTCACTTTAGCAAATGTTACATTGTCATGGTCCAATTGATGTAGTAGGCCAAGCTTTGAGGAAACCAAGTGCTCCTGTAAGCGTGAACTGCACCGAAGTGATCATGGGATCTGGTCACTTTCTGTGTAAAGCTCCTAGGTTTAATCTTCACTCTTTTCTTTTTTTCTAACTCCGTTGTATAAGTAGATTCAGAAAAATGTCACTATCTCACTGCCAGAATATCTCAGTGCATTGAAATGAAGTCTTTAAAATATACTGTAATGTTGTTTTGTAAAGTACTGTCCTAAAAACTGGAGGCCTTGAGAGCAGTGTCTTTTGTATCTCTGTATTCCAGTTCTGTTCAGGAGTGGATTGCTGTGTAAAGTATCAGTACAATTTAACAAGAACTGCTTTCCTTTTTGTTTTTGAAGGACTTGGTAAATATTGAGATGTTTTTGACTGCTAAAGAAGTGGAAGAGTCATTGGAAAGACAAGAGACTATGACTTGCTTGGCTTGGTGTCATGATAACAAATCCAGGCTCAGAAAAATGAAGGTAACATGTACAGTTTTTGCTTAAATAGTTTTCTAAATGTATCCTAAACTATGTGGATATCTGATGTGGACAACTTGGTTTAAATTATGAGTCTTCAATGAGGCCTTGTATAAAAGTAAGGACAGTAAGTACAAAACTCTTCTTTTAAGAAGGCATAGGTGGTTGGAGCTAAACTAGCTCATCCAAGTGCCTAACCTGAAGCTGGCTGATACCTCATCTTGTGGATGCAAGTGTTGTCTCAACAAATTATGCTCAAATAAAATAATAATATTTAGTTGGGTTTAGTGTGATTTACAAAGGTCTAAATGCAGAAGTGTGTGGTGTCTTGATGCATGTGAACTTACATTTATAACTCTTTGCATCCTGCTGAGAATATAACTCAGTTTATACATGAAGGTATTTTAAGAGTGAGATTAATTGGTAAACCTATGTCCTTGGGCTTAACACTGACTGAAATTTCATACAGATTTTTGTATCAGTATTTTTAAGTGTTGTATGTAAGAAAATAAAACTTGAGTAAAGAACTAACTTTCTGTGATGAACTAGTGTTGAAATTTTTTTTTTTTTCAAAAATAAAAGCCCATTCTAATCCAGTAGTGAACACAGTAAGTCTTTCTCTAGCCACTGAATGCCATGACCTGAACATGCTGTATACTTGTTCCCTTGCAGTTGGTTTAAATTTCCTTGTCTCTTAAATTCTGTGTTTCAAAACATGCTGTAATCTTTTGTAGGGCTTGCAGAAATCTGTTTTTAACTGATATTAACCAAAATCCCTGCCTCCTTCAAAGATGTTTGTGTCTTATTTTTTAAACTAAGCGCTTTCTTTAACCAAAAATGTTTGAGTGCACTTAATAATAAAAGCAAAGAGTGACATTCTCTGTCACTCAGGGGCGCCAAAATGAGAATGAACCGAAGATGGGACGCAAAAGTAAATCGGCCAGTGATTACTGTAAAGAAAATGATGATCTTGTTACGGAAACCATTAAAGGAAAACCAGAATTGGTATGTAAACACTATTGCATAATTATACTGCTAAAAAAATCCCCCTTGTGTAATCCTGATATGTTAAGTAATATAAGAAATAAAATCTGAACATCTTTTTCATCACTGATCTTCAGCAAACAATAAATAAGGAAAAATCTTACCCATCCCTCTTCTTGGAAAAGAACAAAAAATTTATTTCTGCAAGCCCTACTTTTTTTTTTTTTTTTTTCTTTAACCAAACAAAAAACAAAGGCTGTGAGAGATCCTTGTTGGAAGAAGAGAAATCACTATGCTTCTTTTTGAAACACAAATAAACATTTCTTCTGTTTTTGGTTGCTTAGCTACTCATCAGTGTTGATGTTCTAAAATCCCAGCCGCCATGCTAATGCAAGCCTGATCTAAAAATTAAGCTGTGAAAGTACACAGTCCTGTAGCCTTTACAGATGTGAGCTATCTAAACTCTTGTGAATAGCTGCTGTGGGATTGTTTGAAGGTATACAAAGTTGAAATGTATTCATCATCTGATTGTCTAGGACTCTTCTAGTTACGCTTGTCTGCAGAAGCCATAGAGCCATTGGCTTGCAGCTTTCTTGAAGATTCATAAAAACAAAATGCAAACTCTGAAGATTCTTTTGGGATGTGGAGTTTTTTTGCTGTTGAAAACGTTTTAAGGAAATACTAAGCCCTAGGATTTAGTATCACTAACAATTAAAAGGCTTGTTCAGCTTTTTAGTAGAAACAAACTTAGCTAAGGTTCTAAATGAAAGGTTTGTGTCAATTTGAATAGCAGGGTATTTTAAAATAGTCCTATTTGAACGTTTCAAATAAAGAAGAGAAGAAACTTTTATTCTCTGCAAAACATGGGCTTGAGTACAGAAAAATGTATAGTTTGAAAATAATTTCTTTTATATTCCTTAAACAAGTATATTTTAACATGTGACGGAATGCATGATTTTTATGTTCAAATGGCTTACATTTCAAATCTTAAAATTAGCATTTGGTGCAATATGTGCATTAGCCATCCCAGGCAGTTAACTGATACAAATTTGGAGTTGTTCAAATTCCTACTGAAGTCACTGAAGAATTTTTATATTACTGTGCTGATGGACAATAAACAAAAGGCAACTATTCATTAGAAGCATGGAGGAAGGAAGAAAACATTTGCCAAATGGAGCAGGGTAACTCAAGGAATACAGTTCTCAAAATTCAAGAGAACTTTGGGTTTTCATTATTTTGTTAAGGTAGTGAAACAGTTGACTGTGTCCCTATAAAGAAGCATAGTGACTTGTTCTTTTATGGGTAGAGAATCTTTTTCTTTTTAATTCCACATATTCAAAGTTTTTTTTATAGATTTTGTGAACTGGTGATGGAATTTGATTTAAAGGGACACTGTCAACTTCATTAGGCTTCAAATTTTACCTTTTTCCAAAACAGGTAAATGCCACTTGGTTTTCCTGTTTGAGACTTGTTTCCAGCATGGCTTTTAGATGTTTGACAAGAAGAGTGGGATAGAAGTTTGAAGAAGGGGAGGGAGGGAGGGAGGGAGGGGATTGCAGCAACTTAAACTCTGTGCTGTTTTCTGTTAATATTGGGGACTTTCAAAGTAGTGTTCAAAGACTAGTTTTTTCCTTGCAGTCTTCTGGGTAACTTCTCTCATCTAAATTACCAAACTTCAGTTGAATCTACTAGTTTAAATTGTAAGAAAATAAAGGGAAACCACTTGCTACTCTCACTTGCATCTCAGGTAACGATGCTTTCAGTTATTAGGAAAAAGTTCATCCCTGCTAAATACTGAAGTTTTGAAGGAGGCAAGAGAAGGAGGTTTTTGTTTGCTTTTAGGAAATTCTGTACTCATGTCTTGTCCAAAAAGTCAGCATTTCAGGGGTTTTTTTGCATGAACACCTAAAAACAAGCAAACAAGTTTGCATGTTATTAACTTTTTTGTTGTGCACCTGTAGTATTTAACATACTGTGCAGTGCAGTTTTGGCACCATCTAAGACCCTGTCTTGTCTTTAATCTCAGAGCTGTCTGGAGTTCAGCCTAAGGATTCAGGAGTTCATTGAACTCATTCGACAGAACAAGAGACTGGATGCTGTGAGGTATGAAATGAGGATGCTTACCAAACAATTGTCTTAACATGGTATTATGTTTCATTAGTAATACATGACTATTATTGTAACACCCAGGAGCCCCACTGCTGTAAAGGAACTTGCTAGTGTTGTGATCAGTCTTTGGTTTTAAGATGAGGTTGAATTTCTTTTTTTTTTTAAAGGCAAGGTGTCATTCCACAGATGCACCTCTTTAAAAATTTAATGTCGTCACTGAAACTCTGCATCTTGTTATTCTTCAAAATCAAGGTTTAGAAAATAAATCTGTTTTATGAAACAATTGTATTTCCTGGTAGCATACAATGTAATGAACATATTTACCCTTAACTGATTTTTAAGAGGTACAGCTAGCTTCTCATAGGACAGATTTAATCACAAAAAATACTAAAAGATTAGTGAAACACATCTAAAGCTTCACATTTCAATTTTGACTGAATTCTCTTCTGTTTTACTATCTTAATTAAACTTTTTAGTTCCCCAAGTTCTGCTTTAGGCCAGGTTCACCTTTTGTATTGAAGGGGTAATTTGGAGTTCTGTATTGTATGTGAGAATTAACGAGCTGTATGATGTTACCTCCCACTCCTTTCCACTGGCTCGAAATGAGGAAATGAACTTAATCTGTTTTTACCTCTTGTGAACTAGTTCAGTGAGGACTAAGTAACACTACCCAAGGTGGTGTGAATCAGCAACAGAACTAGAGTCAGACCTAATCACTGTCTATAACTTCTACCATAAGACAGTCTTTCTGGTAATACTTATCAGCACATGAAGCAATTTGTGCTTTTTAAGTTAGCGGCCCTGATTTAAGGTGTTGCGATAACGTTCCAGGATAACACAGGAAACCAGTTTTGCTGAAAAAAGTGGAATTTTGATACTGAGACTATAAAATGTGTTGATAATTCTGATAAGCAGTGATCTTACCAGCACCACAAAGTATGATGCAGGTGGCAGAGCTATTGGAGTTGACACATGGACAAGGGAGAGAGGAAGTTAGAGCAGGTTCTGTTTTGTAAGAATATTTAAACCTAGCAAGAGATGACAGGTTTTATGGCCAGACTTGAAGCTTTGCTGATAGTTGCCAGTGATAACTGTTGCCACTTAACGTTTCTGACAAGTTTTATCTTGAGGAAGTTGCAAGTCTTACAGCCTTTAAAGCCATACTAGGTACTCCAGAAATTGCAACCAGCAGGAGGCTTGTCTTTGTGGCAAAGCTGCTTTTTGGTCAGAGGAGCACAGAGAAAACAGAAGTATCATAACATAAGCAGTGAAAGCATTCTAGCACATTCCCAAGTTTTAGATATAGAAACTCTTCTGCAGGTGAACCACATAACTTTTATTGAATAGAATGTGTGAGAAAGACTTAGAAGTATGTGGAGAGGCCAGTCTAATGCTAACACCACTCCCAGAATTACTCACCTTGAGTTTTAGGGTTATTTGCAGTTGTTATTTTTAATTTAATTCAAATGTGTTGCTTGCTTTGAGTTAACTCATATAATTCCTACTTGCACCTATATCATTATTGGTTTGGTCCCAGCGAATGCAAATACACAATCTGATAAACTCCAGCTAATTTTAATGTTAATTAAAAGCAAGCAAAACAAAACAAAAACAACCCACCACACTGTATGCTGGCATTTAGATATGTGCACTTACCCTTTGCCAGAGTTCTCAAATCCTAAGGAATTGTCAGGGACTTCTGAAAAGGGTGAAAGAGACTCAACTACATTATCTGTCTTCTCAAGTCCAATGAATACTGTGCTTCTGTGTCTTTAGTTTTATTCTCTAAGTTTGCTTCTTTGCCAAATGTGCAGTCGTGCATCTTAACAATGAGTAGTCCATTTTTGAGCTGCAGCTTCCTTACGTAGCTTGGGAACCAGAGGGCATGCATAGAACTGAAATAAGGAGATAGGCTGAGAACTGGCATGAAGTAGATAAGGTCATTCTATATTTTATTGTTGTTACTTGTTATTTTTTTCCCTCTGATCCCTTTTCCACATCAAAACTGGTCAAATTTGCAAGTTGTCAACCCTCAAGTGCTATTGGTGTGGAATAAATTGTACTATCGTAGCTTCTGAGACTTAAAACTTACAGCTCCTGTCTACATTGCAAATAGGCATTCATATGGAATGTTGTAGGAGCGGAGTGTGTATATTCCATGATACCTACTGAAAATCAGGGCTGACGTATATTTTATATGCAGCAATTATAACTTGCCAGTCATAACACTGCTGCTTTACCTTCATAACGTTTTTGTAAAATGGAAAGGAGCTCCAGAAGTCCCTCTATACCTTAATTCGCTACTTTTTAACAGGGTGAGTTTCGGTAATTTTGCACATTCAGAGTTCAGCATCTCAATGCTTTCCTTAAATAATGTGGCTTAAAAATACTAGGTTTTACCATTTTATTCTGTTTTGCTTCTACATAAATAGGTAATGAGTAAGGGAATGTATTTTGGAAAGGTGTAGCATAAATCTCATTGCAAACCATTGTGTTTTTATTAGCTTGCTTCTGTTAAGTGCCTGCAGCAGGATTCTTTCAGTATTGTGTCCCTGGTGCAATAAATAGGTCAGGCATCCATTAGAAAGCAGAGAAAGAGGCTGTTTACCAAGTAGTTTCCTGTATGAGTGGAACTTGGAGAACTGACATTTTGTTGAAACGCAGCTGGTGTTTAAATAAGTTTGAAAGCTTTGCTTACTGCCTGCTGAGAACCTCTGAAGTGACATATTGCTTTTAGGTTAAAATTGATGTGAGCTTTAAAAATATACATCTTATTTAATAAGTGTTTGAACTTCTGTAGCTTTTTAGAATATGAGTACAAATGTACCTTCCTTTAAGGTAGCTTATCAGAGTAGTCTTGGAAGTGCAAGTTTCAAGAATGTACAAAAACTATTTCTTGAATACAAAGACTAACTCTCTTAAGCTCAAGTATATCACAGAGTGTTTTGCCTAGTATCATTAGCCTTTAACTCCCACAGTCTCTAGGGTTGTTTTCAAAACTCATACCTATTACAGTAACAATGAATGACTGATGACACTAATTCCACACTTTTGGAGCTCTTGCTAATTTCATTCTGGGAAATCTGAGAACATTCTGCTACTTTGCTGTTATGGGATGCTAGAGATACACAGAGTTCTTATCTAAAAGCTTAACAAAACGTGTGCACTTCTTAGGATATAAAGGACAAAAGGAGTAAATAAAAATAGCTGATGATGTGCAGAGTTAGGAGAAAGTGGCCACAGTCTTCATTTTAGTAAACTTCTGTCCTGCAAGGGTGGATAAACACAGTGTGTTCCTTTGTTTTATTATGGGATGGGCAGGGGGGGTGAACAGGTGTATAAAAATAATGATGAAACCTTGGAGCACTTGGAGTATAAATTTTGCAAGTAGTCATAATGATCTCAGAGATAAAGGCATTCAGGTGTTGGTCAGCAAGACTGAGCAGAAAGAACAAGTCCTTTCTTGACAACACCTTGTGTTTGTGTTCGGTTATTGCTACTTCCTGATAAATACATTAATTGTTAGATTCAGGCATACACAGATATACATGTACACACCTATACTTTTTTAACAATTAATGTACCGTTACTAGAGAGCAAATTATAAATCTTCAAGTCCTTCAAGTCTTCATAAATATCCTTTCGTTCTTGGATTTGTCAAGTACAAAGTGTCTTTTGTACCTGCTCGGGCTAGAGGAACAGCTGTATCAAACAAAAGACTATGGACTTTGCCTCACAGAGTTTACAAAATCGTTCTGGGATTTGAAAAACAAAATTTTCTTACCTATTACTTGGATCTGTTGCAAGACTTAGTGGTTTCAGTGATGGTCCACTGGTCATGATTTTAACTCTAGCTCTAGCTATACTGACTAGTGTTCACTAATGGTGGTAAAACATTGTAAATAAGCATTGTAAGGTTCATGTATACCTGCAAGAGCATAATGTTTGCACAAAGAGATGGAAATCATTAGATTAAAAGAGAAGGGGTGAATAATGGCATGAGGACAAGGAAGGTGTTGTTTAAATGTTGTGCGTTCATGAGTACTCACGTAGTAGTGTGTTTTGCTTCCCAATCTGGAAAAGACTCGAGTGCTGTGAGTTAACAAACTCGCTTCTCTTTTAAAGGATATCTTGCTTCATTTTAATTTCTCTCTGTTGGCACTCAAAGGGTGAAGTTCAGACATTAGCATGGCAGCCTTTGTAGGAAAACTTCCTTGTTTTCTTAAGGGGCATAGGTGGAAGGGAAAGTCAGGAGATGAGGACTAAGGGAAGGTCACTTTAGAAAACCTAATTCCGTCTGACTGAACCCAAAATGGCCACCACATCCCAGTGTGCTCAGTAATCTGCAAGTGATGGAAGTGTTGGATTGCTGACTTCTCCTTTGAATGGGTAGCACACACATAGTGATTATATATCATACATACATAAAACAGAGTGTTAATTCTAGTTCTTCTTGAACACATACAGTAACTGTGGCTGAGATTTGCCTGTTGCAGCTCAGGGCCTTCCTGTAAGTAAGGGGGCTCTATTGTTCAAATGCTGTCTGTAGGAGCAAATTGTCAAGGTCTGACAGGGAGTATGACCACAATTCTGAGGCTGGTGCAAGACTGAAGTACCACTTCTGTTTTAGTATCACAGACACAGCTGCATGGTGATCAGTTCTCTTAAGATTTTTTATTTTTTATTTTTTTTTCTCCTCATGCGGGCACACACAATCATTTAGCTGAACTGGAAGATCTGAATTTTTTGCTTTGCATACGCTTTCTTTTAAATAGCTGTTGCTTTCACCTGCATCCCTGTACTTGCACTTCTTTTAGCTTTCTTCAGGTATGTCCAGGCTGCCTAGTCTCTTCTCTCAGACCATGGGTTTTGTACTTCTGCTCTCATAACAGTAATCACCTGGGGAACAATATTTACATTCCTGAATTGCTCACTTGAAATAGGAAGTTGGGTGGAAACAGTCTGTCCTACATAACTTCCATTGCTTCCTGGTTTGGGTGGGAGAGGAAGTGGGAGTACTGAAACACTGCCGAAGAGACTGTTCTCATGGTATTGATGACCTAATTGTAGTTAGTAGAACACACAATTGGAAAAATAAAAAATACTTACCTAGATATTTTTTTTTCAACCCATGAAATGGGCAATTGGAAAATACTGTATATTCCTAAAAGTAATTTGTAACTTTAAACAGATTTTAACAAGACTCTTTAAAAGTTAAACATAGCACTTAGCAGAATACTTCAAAGATTACTTGGTATCTTCACCATTATACAAACTGTGGAGAAAAAAAAAGGCATAGAGAAGACTTTTCTACGCTTAGACAATGCCAGAAATTCAATATAGTGGTGATTCCATACTCAGTCTACTATACAACCTCTGTGCACCACTGAAAACAGGAGCTTTTAGCAGAAACGTTGAACTAATCGTCCAGTTTAAAGGCTGGAGGGTTTTCCTGCACACTTAAACTCCAACGTGAAAATTGATGATCTTGGGAAGACTAGATAGGGGAGGCTTTCATACAGGGTTTTAAAGTTGTTGAATATCTTTATCCCATATGAGTTCTCTGGTTTCTTAGTATTAATTTCCTGAAAAATATTAAAGTTTGTATTTTTGCTTTAAATAAATTTCTGGTAATTCTGTTACTTCTTTCAGATATCCACATTTTCAGCCTTGTGTGTATCTCTTAAAGTACAAAAACTTGTACTAAAGTTCTACTAAATTTTTTATTTCCCTGGCAAAAAAAAACTTGCTCTTAAAGTGTTTTCTACTATATTACCCTGCAATTTCTTGTAGTCTGCACAGAAAGTGATATTGCCTTCTAGCTTATACGAAAAAAATTCATTTATTCAGAAGTAAACATTCTCTCAAATGTCAGCATAAACAAGGCAGATATTTGAACACTCCTGATGTTTAATGGTTTGGAATAGCTGATTATCAGACTGCATTTTGTCTCACTTGTGAGTGGAAGCCAAAGGAATAAGTGTGATACACTGAGCTGTAAGCAGAGACATTTCTTCTAATAATCATGGATCTATCATTCTAGAAATAGCTGAGGTAAGACTTTGTGCTCCAGCAAGAAGTTCTGGATTCTAAGAAATTACAGTCTAAAATAGCTAATTCTTAAAGGCATTCTTGCATTCACATTTCTAGGATGTTTTTGTTTGTTTGTTTGTTTTTTCAAGCCCTCCTTTTGGAGTTCATATATTGAGAGCAGAATCTAGAGTTTCTCTGAAGTCTTACATAATTATGTAGATTTACTTGATTTAGAAACAAGGCTATCTAATAAAGGTACAAATTCTGTATTTCAGACATGCAAGAAAGCATTTCAGTCAGGCTGAGGGAAGCCAGCTGGATGAGGTTCGACAAGTGATGGGAATGTTGGCCTTTCCTTCAGACACTCATATCTCCCCCTATAAGGTAACGATATGTTTGAAATTCAGTGGTACAGCAGAATCATAAAATACATGTTGCAGTTCTTTTCCCTTACAGGAAAATGCATTGATAATCTGAAGAGTGAATGTTGTTCTAATTTTACTTTCTAAAATATACCTCTATAATAGTCCTTAATTTTATTAACCAGTCCTTGTCTGTAGATTAATCCATGTAGTATTTGTATTGTTGTAGTTGGATCTTATAGTAGTGGACAGATTCCCATTGAGCTAAAGATCTGTGGGACTGGAAGCATGATATGCAAATACATACAGCAAGAGACAGAAGATGGGGATGTACAAATAAAAAATTAGAGGTTTTTTTCCAACATACTAACCTGTCACCTTAATACACTAGCAGTTCTTATTTCTACTTCTCAAATTACTGTTCTTGCAGTGGTTAGGATGAAGAAAGGAAAGATGATTTGAATTATCTGAAAGTAGTATTTTTGATATTTAAAAGTAAATGTTCATTTATTTGGCTTATACAGATTATTATCACAGAATGGTTTGGTTGGAAGGGACCTTAAAGATCATCCAGTTCCAACCCCCCTGCCATCAGCAGGGACACCTTCCACTAGACCAGGTTGCTCAAAGCCTCATCCAGCCTGGCCTTCAACACTTCCAGGGAGGAGCATCCACAACTTCCTTGGGCAACCTCTTCCAGTGTCTGACCACCCTCAGACCCTTATTGTAGATATTAGTGGTAATATCTACATCTAAATTTGAATCAAGCAGAATTCATAGGTAGTTACTGTTTCTACAGATCAAGTTTGTTCTGTGACCGTGTGCTAATTCTCTTGACTTTTTTTTTTTTTTTTTTTTAACTTGGCATTGGAGGCAGGAGGTAGACAAGAGTTGAGCTGGCAAAGCAAGACAAGAATCCTGTGAAATGCCAAGCCAGTATGTGGCAATGCCAGTATGAACATGTTTTTTTAAACAATTGATGATGAAATCAATGGTTTAACAAAATAAACACACAAAAAACCCCAAACCAACAACCCACAGAATTAATGTGAATTTTTGTGCTAATCCTGGAGTCCTTGAAGGATCCTGGTATTTTGGATTCTGCATTTGATGTGAGTTAAGAGCATAAATTACAGATGTCTTAGAAGACTGGGTGTAAGACAGAGCTTATAATTGTCTTAGTAGTTAGAAAGAAAGAGGCAGGAAATAAAAATCCAGTATTTTGTTCTAAGAGCTAGTTTGGATGCAGTGCTTCAATGAAGGAGAGCAAGGAGAAAAGCTAGTATTGTTTCACTTGCAACCATACAATTGGAACAAATTCCCTACTACTTCTTATGGATCTGACTTAAAACATTGTAGTTTATGGAAGTCATGTCTTGGGTCCTCTTATAATTACCAAGATAAACAGAATCATAGAGTGCCTGCTTGTTTGGAGATACCTTTAACATGTTCACTGGACTTCTGTGCATGAATGGCTTCTTAAAATGTCTTTAGGTAAAATTATTTTTAAATCTGTGAGGAAGTTTGTCAGATCATAATATCTCTAATTAATTGATTTTTATTAATCAAAGGGAAGAAGAGTTTTCTATAACCAATTAATTCAGCTTTATCCAGCTTGTTGTCCTATCTTTTAGGATTTTAAGGAAAATACATTTAATGTGGCAAAACAAGCTCTTTTCTTTTTATATCAACAAGCTTGTGTAGCTGTGGTTGGAATTATTCTAGCCACATTCTATAACTAGACATTTAGTAAGCTGCTACTTTTGCATCCTGTCACCTAGACCCTTAATTGTAAGCTTTTCTTAATCATTAGTAGTACTCTGTCTCTTTATTATGGATCTGTTGTAGGCTCTGTCTGTTAATTCTTCTCAAGAATTGCCTTAAGATCAGAACAAAAGCTTTATCCCAGAGCTTGGAGAACGTTCTGGCCTTAAATGGGGCAAGTGATAGAGCAAACAGATATGCAGCCTGATGGCAGAAACAGTGCTTTTGGATAAATTTCTCAGGCCAGTCTGTTCTTCTTGGGGTGGGGGAATTGCAGGGTGCAGGCTACAGCAAAAGGTAATGCTGGAGTCCATCCTTCTCCAGTGTCTCTGCTTGAGTGAACAGGGAACTGAGGAGAGGCAGAGTGGTCCAAGGTGGTACAGAGCAAAGCGTAAAGACTAGTGTCTACATCATGGTAAAATCCCTGCCTAGTAATTTGGATATAGCATGTTTTGAACCTGATGCTGCTACTCAGTGTATTGTCTGTCACCAAGTCTTTGATTTTCTTTAAAAGCCTGTTTTATAAACTAAAACAATATACTAAAATATATTCTTGTTCCTCCTAGCTGCCTCAAAGTGTAGCGTGCACAGTTGATAATATGAATTTATTTCTAAGATAAATAAACATTATCACTTTTCATTACCAAAATGCAGGTTATGGATACGAAGGAGAGAAGGGGTGCTAGCAGAAGAAAGGATTAAGTCTTTGCCTGTATATATAACATAACAAGTATATTTCCTAAGGGTCTTCACTTCTTACATGACTCTTTCACAGCATTACTTTTAGGGTTCGATATATCCTTGACCTGTGGGTTTAGTTCTTGCTTACATGAAAAAAAAAAAAATCCCTACTTTTAACTCCTGTTCCATTGTTTAGCTAACCCACAGCATTACAGTATATATTAAAGAATTTTGTCCTTAAATACATAGCTTAGCTAAGCTTTCTCTAACCTGGGGTTGTACCAGATCTTCAAATTAAAACCTTTTTTCACCTCAAAACTGACACAGAGTTCTGTAGACATTGTGTATTATGAAGAGATATTAGCAGAATTAGCCTCACTTGAGGTAAAAAACACTTCTGACTTTTTGATGTTAATGGTTCAGAGGCTGCAGAAGAGCAAACATTCCACAATACTGATGTTGCTTCATAAGTAGGGCAGCGTTGTAGAAAACTAAATGCAAGAAATAACCTTACCAGGATTTACATAACTCAATTAGAACATTTGGTAGCTGAAGGAGGGGATGGAACTGCAAGCTGCAGTTCAATTGCTTTGGACAGAGCAAGGAAGATGGTATCTAGGGGACTCTTACTGCAGGATCATTTCATTTGGACCTTTGCATGGATAATGTGCATGCTGTAACAACTACAGCATTTTCTTTGAACTAGGACCTTATGTTTTTACAAGTTCACGTGCACAAGTATAACAAAAAGTAAGTTTGGAAATTGAATGCTGTTATGCCAGCTATTTTAAGTAATACTTGTTTTAAATAATATTTTTAGTAAAGAAATGTTTAAAGCTACTTTCTAAACAAGTACATTCATACTATGCATTAGCATGTATATTTTTATTTTGTGATGGATTCAGTCTAGTGAGTTTTGCACAATTCACCACTCCCAGGCTTTTTCCCCTTGGGAAATTAGATTGAAAACAACTTATAGTTGTGTTGTTTTTTAACAGGATCTCTTGGACCCTGCTCGATGGAGAATGCTGATCCAACAGTTTAGATATGATAACTACAGACTACATCAGCTGGGAAACAATTCTGTTTTTACTATAACACTCCAGGCAGGCCTTTCAGCTATAAAAACACCGTATCCTTTAATGTAGATACTACTGTTGAGTGCAAAAAAGCATTGTGATGGTTTTTTTTCTTTCTATGGGTGCTTTTCAGAGCTCAAAGAGGAAATGTGACACCTGAATATTTTTGCTCACGAGTTGTTTAAATTGAGTATGAATTGGTTTCTCTATTAAATTAAGGGGACATTATAATAAATAGCATTATGATTTAAAATTAAAAAAACTCAAACCAAAATTATGAGGTGAAATATATATTTATGGTGTTTGCATACTAGGCTATCTTTCTGTGTGTGTCTTTAAGTTAGTGAATATATCTGCAAAAGCTAGTGAGCTGGGTCAGAAGTAATATTTTTAAGCACTTATACACAAATTTAATCTGTCTGGTTTTATGTGAATATTCATATATATCCTGCATCTTTTGAAACTTAGTTGGATTTGCTACACACTATCATATATTGGAGAAGGACTGGTGCTACTGAAGTGTTCTACATGGGAAACTTTACCTATAGAGGGTGCCAGACACTTGTTGCTCACTCTTATTCCTTGAAACAAAGCAAGCACTTGATTCTTATATGTACACATTAAACTTGAATTAAGTGGTCCTGTACACTCGGTAACCTAGGTTGTATTTGCACAATTTACTGTCTTTTTTTCCAATGTGTGTCACTAACTAATTGTTGTTGCATTCTGTGGTGGTTGCTCCTTAACTTGCTGTTAAACAGACAGTGTTATAAAGAGGATGGGAGCTCAAAAAACCCAGACTGCCCTGTGTGTAGCAAATCCCTGAACAAGCTGGCTCAGCCTCTGCCTATGGCACATTGTGCCAACTCCCGACTAGTCTGCAAGATTTCGGGGGATGTAATGAACGAAAATAATCCTCCTATGATGTTACCAAATGGATATGTCTATGGATACAATGTAAGTGTGGAAATCAATGACTTACTGAAGTCTAGCATAGCAGTGCTTAATAAGAACTTTCTATATCAAAATAAAGCTTATAAATTCAGTCAGAAAGCTAGAAGTAGCTTCTATATTAACAGAAGAAAAATAACCTCTCACAGTAATTTTTAAAGGTCTGTATATTTATGTGATTAAGTTGATCTTTAAAGAAGCTAATGTCTGATTGAATATACAAATTTATAACATGAAGTCAAATGGCATTGGAGACTCTTCACTCTGGAGAGCGATAACGCAGAATAAGTAACTTTTGCGGGCAAAGATATTTTGACCTCAGACCATAACATCATTATTTATAAATTAAAAAAAAAAAGTTTGTACTAAACAGTTAAATAATGCGTAGAGTTACTATTGTGAATATTATCTTCTGATTTCACTCTCTTTCAGTCTCTGCTTTCTATTCGTCAAGATGACAAAGTAATTTGCCCAAGAACCAAAGAAGTCTTCAACTTCTCACAAGCTGAGAAAGTCTACATCATGTAGGTCCATAAAACACATGACAAAGTGCCGCTGGAATTTTGACACAGTGTATATTGGCATACCCTGCAAAGGGGGGGGCCTTAATGTGTGGCAAAGAAGCAAAACCTGCCACCTTGGGGATCAGACCTGTCGGTGGCATTATTGTTTCTTGCGACCAAAGATCAATGAGCAACAATAAACACTCTTTAAAAAAAAAAAAGAAAAAAAAAAGAGAGGAATTATGACTTAAGTTTGTACTTGAATAAAAACAAAAACAAATTTTGATTGTTAAGGTTTTGTAACATAAGGTCAAAAATTGGACTCTTCTCAAAAGTACTTTCATCTTCTAAAGGAAAACTTTCTTTAAAGATGGACACTTGCACTGGGGGAAAAGTTAGAACAGATTTGAAATTAAATCCATTTTTCTTCCCTCTTTTTCACAATTGTCCAAGACCCTTTTGTTATCAAAGATTTCAGTACTACCAATATGTTCTCCTCTAAGCTCCTCTTTGCCTTCTTTATGATCCTCTTGTGAAGTAATCCTGAACATGAATCCTATAACTTATTTCCATGGGAAGATACTGATGTCTTTGACACAAGACTGGCTTCTCTGGAGGATCAACTAGGGACTGGTTTGAAGGAGTATGAAGTCTTTTTCCAAACCCAAATATTTTAAGGAGGTTGCATAAGTATCAAGAGGAACTTAGAACATTTCAGGCAAAATCCAATGCTTGTTTAAATGTTCTTTTTCCAGTCTACCATAGTGTTAAAGTCCTTCTAAAGTTATTAGTTATGTGCATAGGGTTCAATATGAAATCATTAGTGCTACTGCCTTATTTCTTGCTTTGAGAATGTACTCACATGAAAATGAGCTGGTATTCTTAAGTGTTGGGCGAAGTTTCTGAAGATGCCTTGCAGGATGATTACATAATTTTAGGGTCTAAATAGTATTCATTACTGAAACTAATAGTTCAATTTTAACAACTACAGAACACATCCTTATGACTTTTCAAAAGAATTAAACCATTGTAGTTTAAACAAAACCATATTGTAGAGGTTTGTATTTAGCGCTTATTTTTGCATGTTGATGTTGATTAGCTAATAAAAGATTGTAAATGTAAAACATGTTAATAAAAATTGTTTTCCATTTCTTGATTATATAAAATTAGAAAGTTGCTTTGTATTTAAATGTAAAAAAAAAAAAAAAAGTTACCAGTTACCTCTTCTAGAAGGGACTCTCTTAAAAGGAGTGCAACTTCCCACTGTTGTTTTTTAGTGTTCTGCAAGACTTAAAGCAAAAAAAACACAAAACACCCAAGCAAAAACCCACCACACAACCATAAACATTGTTCTTCAGGCTCCAGAATTGGGGCGTTGGTTTAAACTTGTCATATTTGAACAGTACATTCCTGACTTTTTTTTTTTCCTGTCACTTCCTAGAGGACTGCCTAATGTCCTAGAGAATTCTGTTAAAAGAACATTTGTGGGAGATGCTAGGTGTGAGGTTTTGATGCATGACTGAGTGCTTTAAAGGCTGCTAACAAAGAATGCTGGAGGGACTGCAGCTTGTATTCATGTGCAGCGCTTGGAGATTACAGATCTATACATTGATTGTATCAACCGCCCTGAAACTGTAAATACAGTAGGACTTCCAGTGAGGTATGTCTGAAAAGATTCCATTTTCAGTAAGTGTACATGATTGATGCTTCTGAACAGTTATGTGTGGAACACTGCAGAGCTGCCAGCTTGGCAGAGACCAGTGTTCCTGCACTTCCTGCTGGAGGGGTCTGTTTCCCTCAGCACTTTCTGAAATGGCAGATTTAGCGATTCCTTAAAACAAAAGCAATGTGCCAAGAGTAGGTGGAGGCAGATAATGAGAGAGCTGGCACCACTGACTGGAGTAATTGGCTATCACTTAAGCAGTAACTGATCTCTTCCTTCCTCATGGGGCAAGAGTTGAAGTATCACCAGCTCAAAAGGGGAGAGGAGACACCAGCCTGGGGAGCAGCATTGCTGAAACCCATGTGGAACAGCATCTGTTTTTCTTCAGCAGACTATTCAGAGCATCATAGCAGAAAGGCAAGGATAACTTTGAGAATGGCAGCCTTGCTTTTCTGACTTTACAGAAATGCAGAAAAGGCCGAAGCAAGGAAGAAGGGGTAGATTTCTTATCAGCCCTGAGGAAATGCGTGGTAAGTGCACAACAGCTGTAGAGCATGGAAATTGTTACTTTTGCTCCTGTAAGTACTAGTTAGAGCTGTGGTTTCCTGAGATTTCAGCCCTTTTTGATTTCTGTGGCCTAAGCAGAGTGGTGGAGAAATCCATGCTCCCAAAAAAATAGTTTGGGAGGGGAGGGGAGGAGAGCAACTGCCCCATGGGAGGAGGCCCTTTGTTACAGGAAGTGTCATTTCAGAGGTCTCAGTCCATGATGGTGTGTTATAAAGAAGGTGCTCCAGAAGGAGCCTCAGGGAGCTTCAGTTGTTTGTTAGCAATGACTGCTCAGTTTAGATGTCTGCTATCAACCAACCAACCTATTTTGGCTACAGTGAGACCCATTTGATACAGGTGGTTGTAGCCTCTTGGCTGACCCCTCTGGACTGTCCCCAGTACGTGTGCCTATAGCCTGGCTTTCATTCCCAAGCTTGCTCTGGTGTGGTGTTAGCAGCCTTCCAGCTTTACAAGGGTCAGAAATGGTGGTGGGGATGGATTCCTTTAGTGTAGCTTGGACTGGTTTGTATTCCCTGATGGCTTTCTGCAGCCTTGAGCTCAGAATCCAACAGGTGCCAGTTCACAGCTTATATCATGGGTGGCTTCAGATATCAAACCAAGAGCAGAATGTGACTCAGAGCAAGTATAAACTTACTGCCTGTAAACGCTGTTTAATAACCGTTCTCTCTCCGCATCGATTGCTGCCTGTGGGTATGTTGAGAAGACAACTTTGACAGTATGGTTTGTCTGACATTGGTGGAGGTGGGGCAGGGTTATAGAGGCTCTCCTCAGCAGTTGAAAAGTTTGGGTAAAGATCTCGTTAAACCTGTCTCATTCTAGCAATATCTTGCATAGCAGTAAAATCATAAAACATAGAATGGGGAATCGGTTTTACAACCTGACTGTAACCAGATGTCAAAACATCAACGAATATGGCCAGAACCTGCTCTACAGAAACCAAGCCTTCTCTGCCATTTATACATCTTGTGTTACCAGCAATGGCTGTGTTTCATCTCAATCAAAAAAGTGGCCATCAGCCACTTTAGATGAGATTCCCAGTCTTTTTATGGATAACCTGCATCATCTAAATACCTGGGAGTGTGCTGAGGTTGAAGACAAGACAATCCATTTATTTCCTTAAGGCTACAAGTACTACCCGTACATCCTTTTGAAATGGAAGAGGTTGATTAATAAAGTGAAAACTATCTCCTCTCAAGATCTGGCTGAGCTGGAAATGAGCAATATCCTTTACTGTGATGTTTTTTCAGTCTTGCCAACAATTTAACAACATGAGACTTGAGGCTCTGGATTTTGTTTATGGTGTTCCTGTGATTTTGGTTATGGTGTTCCTGTTTGAAGGCAACAGTTGTGGTCTGGACAGGTTTCTCTGATTTCCACAACTGCATGGAGGTTGAGAATTGCCTTAACCTCTCCTATTTGTTGTGGTCTGAACCCCTGGTCTAAATGCTGAAGATTCTCCAGTATTGCAAAAGGAGAGAGAGGTATTGGTAACTGTTCATGATGCTGTAGATTTCTTGGATACCTGTTTCAGCTTGAAGTATTCCAATATCTACCAGGCTAAGAAGGGTTCAAGATGCTGAGATCGCAACACTTGGTAGGTCGGAAGTAGCAAAGTTAATACCAAATATTTTGCAGGAAGCTTTGAAGACTGATGGGCTGGTATGGTTTGGGGATATTTTTAATATTATAAGCATGTCTTTTCCTACTTATTAATAATTACTTCTTGGGAAAAAAAAAAGATTGTTTAGGAGAGGAAGAATGAGAAAATTATATACAGTTCATAATTACCAAAAGGAAGCCTTTGAACATTCTTAAAAGACCACTCTTCAGTAAAAAAGTAATACTTTGGCTTTGTTTTTTTTCTGCTTCAGGTAGCCTGAGCAGAGTGTGGTGGGAGCCATGCCAAGCACTTTATCAGGGCATACTTTAAGACCCTTGGAGACATTGATTTTGCACACTGACGTCTCCTGTAGCACCATATAGAGGTCACTTGGTGTAACAAAACGAGTACTTAAATCTCTTCCGTCCTGTTTTTCGTGCTCTATAATGAGCATAACTAACAAACGAGTTTGGTTTAGCACTAGAACAGCTTGCCCAGATAAATTGTGGATGCCCCCTCCCTAGAAGTGTTCAAAGCCAGGTTGGATGAGGCTTTGAGCAACCTGGTCTAGTGGAAGGTGTCCCTGCTGATGGCAGGGGGGTTGGAACTGGATGATCTTTAAAGTCGCTTCCAAACCAAACCATTCTGTGATTCTATGGAATTAATCCAGCTGTCAATTAGGACCTCACTTGAAAGAGTCCTCGTTATACACCGTGATCATGGAGGGCTTTGAGCCTCGAATGTGTTGCATCTTTGGAACAGAGGAATATCACCCTGACATGGTGCTACCATGGGGACGAAGGAGCGAGGGCTGCACAGGGGCTTGGTGCCCTTTGCTGGAAGCAGGAGTACAGTCCTGCTCACTCATGTCTGTAATCTCTTACACACAAGCTGGAGCAGAGGGAGCACTGAGTTGGTCGGTGGTGTGGACCAGAAATCCCTTCCTGGCCCAGCTGGCTCAGAGTAAGACGTTTCCTTCATTCCCAAATTAATGTGGAAAACCAAGGCTGGTTAAGTGGGGGATAACACCCCAGGGGCTGGAACCCATATCTGTACCTACTCCTTTGACCTTGTTTCCTATCCCAGAAGATTAACTTTTATGTTGACCATTTCTCAAGGAAATAGTTTTATCTACCCCACAGAGCAGAGGAGCAGATTTTCCCAGGGAGCTCATCTGAGTTCCCAGCCAGGACTTTTTCCTGACAGAGCCAGAAGGAAGAATAAGGAGAGAAAGATGATAAAGCCTATTCACTTCAGGACAAAACACTCATTAACTAACTTAAACATTTTGTTCCCCACCCATGGAGATTAAGCAGGATCATATAGACAAATTCCCCAAAAGGAAATAAACAGATAATAAAATCAGGAGACAATTTCCTTTTCCTTCTTTGCAAACCACAGCAAGACAAACCGCTCAGAAGAGGCAAGACGAGAGCTGTGGGAAGTTCTTCAGGGTGCATGTGCGTACCCCATATGGAGATGTCTCCTCTGTTTAAAATAGCAGCTTTAGGGACTCAAACTATATAAATATTAAAATTTGAAGTGGGTCAGGAAGGAATTGGCCTTGGCAAAACTCCAAGTTGCCCTGGATGCAGTCATTAAGGGAAACATTATATAGGGCTCTCCATTAAATCTTTCCAGGTAGACCCTCATCCTGGTGTTGTGCTGTAATCCCCAGTGAACTTCTCAGCTGGAAGCAGACCCATTTTCCTCCCCCAGCTCTGTCCACTGCTGACAGAACTGCCATGCAGGAGGGTGCAAACCCCACAGGCAGGTTTTGAACCACCCTCTGCTTGTTGCTGCCTCTCTTCATTTCAGAAGACTGGGTGGTTCCTCAGTGTAAGCTGTTTTGCTACGTGGTTTGGGAGAAGAGGCTGTTTCTCCATAAGGACTGTGACATGATTTTCTCTATTAAATTGCACACCCTTAGGTTGCCATCTCATTGTCCTGCTCATCTGTGCACAGGATCTCATGGCCACCAGAAATTATTTGATCCCATTCAAGGCCATAAGAAACATTAGTTTCCAGGGCTGACTTCCACCATAGGAAACTGAGAAGAATTCAGGCTGGGTGGTGAGGTGATGCGCCAGGAGAGTGTCTCTGTGGGCGGCTGCTGGAGTGAGTGAAGCAGCAGCACTGACTTGTGCTGTCTCTCTGCCAGCTGCAGAGAGATACCTGAGTAGTATGAGATACATGTTGGGGAGAGAAGGGTAACCAGCTTAGTCTAGTGCAAGCTTCCTATTTCAGGAGTATTACAACCTGCTTCCCGACTCTTTTCTGGAGTCGACATGAGGCTTGAGCA